AAAAGTGTCTACACTGTAGAAGTGATGCACTGAAATGATTTTCTTCTTTCACTTCCTTTTTCCTGAGAAAATGATAGATCAGTTCATATTTTTAGGAATCTACTTAAGAGAAATAAAGGCAAGTAGGAAAATACTGAACTCATGATTTCCCATTTATTTTCCCTTTAACAAAACACGACAATATTTTATCAGTGACTAAATTTAATTAAAATAAATACAGCAAATGACCTGATGCTTTCATATCTTTGGCAGTCTTTCTGTACAGCTTATTTTCTGTAGCTACAATTCAGAAATACAAACTGAATAATCTCGGGTTAATCCTGAGACAAGACTAACCAACTCCTTATACATTGTCAAGTATTTGTCTTTTGGTTTCATGCTGTAGAATAAATCTTAAGCACAGAATACTTTCAGAGAAAGAAATAAAAGAATAAATCAGCCAACCACATCCCAGAGTAAACAACACACCCACACCCTTTCCGTTCATATCAAGTTTATGGTTTAGGTGTTTAAATACTTCAGTTCTCATTTAACCATTTTCGTAATTAGTTCCAACCATATTAAACTCAGACAATTTTATTTTTAAGAACTTTTCAGAAATTATCCTTTATTCAAATCAACCAGTATTCATTAACAACTCAAGCCAGGATTCAGTAATAGAATCTGACCTTAATTACCAATTATGAAACAGGATAAAATCTTTACACTCCTAGTAGATCTTCAAAACTTTGGTGGCTCAAATTTCATCATCTCACTACAGTAAACAAAAGATTGGAAAGTGTTACAGTAAACAAAAGATTTGGAAATTATCACTCCAAATTTATCAGGGACAAATCCCAGTGGCACTCATTAAATACCCCTTGAAAAATTAGGATTTGAATATGGGCTAACAGACAGGGTTTTAAAATTATTACCAGGATATAGTTCTGAGCATGCAAATAGTTTAATTTCCTGGCTTAATTCCCAGCTAAACTACAGGCTGTCATATGGCACCTTGCGAGTCACCTCCTTACAGGACAGCTGGAGCAATGCAGCCCAACCAGCACATCAGCAGCCCAAATTCTGGACTTTGGGAAAGTGTTTGTACCTGGAATCCTGTATTACAACAAGAATGCTAAGGTAAAAAGCCACAATCAAAGCACTGAAATACATAAAGAAAGAAATAGGTCAAATCCCTGTATCTTTTTAAACTACTTATAACATTCAGTTTATGACCTTTTGGTCTGTGGTGCTGAAGAACTGACCTGCAGGTCTTGATGACTCTCTGAAAATAACCACATAACACAAAAAGTTCATTCCTGGGCACTTTGCTGATTTATTTTTTTAAATTCTTTGTAGGAAGGATCAGTCTTTGCAGATAAAATATTAGGCTGCTTCAGGAAAAATACAGACAATACAACTATATCAGAAATAAAAAAAGTTCAAAGAGCAACACAAATACTTACAAACCTGCAGATGTTTCCCAGTGACAAGAGTCTAAAAGTTTACAGCACTGTAATTTATAGAGAGGTGAGGAATATTTGAAATAAGGGTATATTAAATGATAAATGATCCAGGGAAGGTCAAACCAAGCATTAGTGAAATAGAAGACCAAACTGAAGCTTTGTTACTCTTCCTATGCCAAGCTGTAGGTCTTAGGAGTTGAACTTCTTACCGATCTTGTGTTATCAATTTATCTTAGCTCCCATTTCCTCCCTGCTTTCAGGCAGATGTTTAAAATATATGTGTTTGAGGTTTAGCTTTCCCACTGCAAATGAATTAATTGATCAGTTCCGTTTGAGAAACACTTTTAAACACAATGAGATGTTCCTGGGCTTTTGTCCTGGAATACTGAATCTGTACACTGGGAAATCTCAGCACTTTCTTTACTAAGAACACACCCTAGGTAAGGACAAATAGATAACACTCCCAATGAAGATCAAATGTGACTTTCAGAACACTACCCAGCTTCTAATTGCACTGCCTAAAGACTAAAAAACCCACAAAAAAAATACCATGGTCCACAGCTGGTTCTTGCAAAATTATCCACTGAACTCCTTGTTATTCTCCCTCAAAAACACTTTGCAGGAGCCACTCTGAGACAGGATCCTGATGAATCACTCTGAATTTGTTTTAAAGAACTGAGGAAAGAGTTAAAAATAATTCTGGTTGCTTTAGAAACTGACATCCTTTGTTTTGCTTGAGATGAAATACCATTACATGCATGCAATACCCTTTAAACTTGCCACTGTTCCAACAATAACTAAAGCTATTCTAAGAAATTACCACCCAAAAGGAGATCACCAGAGAATTACTGTAAGTTTGCCACTGCAAAGCTGGAGTACACTTACAACATTACCAAAAATGCTCAGTCAAGCCTAGCTGGGAGTGACCTCAGTGTAACCACCAAAACACGACAGTGACTGCTGCTCACCGACTCCATCATAACCACAGTGATCAAACAGCAAGAGGAGCATTTCTACTTTCAACAGCAGCTTGCAGCTAAAGGTATTTTCAGCAAACTTGATACTCAACCCAAATAACTAAGATGACATTTCTACACAAGAAAATTAAAATACTGCTAAACTTTAGTGATTAAGATAATCCCATGTGGTTTTAGCATGCATTTTTATGGCTGCATCTCACCCAAACTGCAAACTTTTAGACTGATGAATCCACATTCTCTTGTTTGCTGATACAAATACTTCACTTCTAGTAAGAAGCACACCTGATCACTGACCCTTCTGCATTTCCTTTAAACAATGCAAACTTTTAGACTTGCAAGCTGTTTCAAGTTGGCACCACTTTATTTCAAACCATCTCAATTAATATAATTCAAGCATGGAAAAGAATTTTTGTTTTGCAATATTTTCGCTTTCACAAACCCGTTCCCAAGCCCATCCATGCTGAGTCATCTCCCGCACTCTCCCCTCCACCTGACAGCCGCCCATGGCCCAAAAGAACACAAACCTCCTATTTTGACATCTGTCCCTCCCCAGATGAACCTCAAAGGACCACTCTGAACCAACCCAGCAAAAAACTTTTAAAACAGTACTTGAAACATACTGGTGTTCCAGTAATAGCTATGCTTTTACAGTTTACAATGCTACATGTGACAATATATGTGACATGACTTCTAAGTCTTGATCTGTCTTAACATTTTGGAGATTGTTCTGACTAAAATGAAAAACATTGATAGGCAAAACAAAGCTCAATATTTTGCAAACTAATCTGCCATCTCTCCCTCTACATATGCCTATGAATGTACACATTTTTAAGAATGCATAATTAACTGTAAGAAAATAGTTCTCAGAAACCAGAAAGCTAAAGTATTTATATCAAAAGCTGAATCTTTCTCACTCGATCTGCACAAATAAACCCACTGAAGCTGCCAGCTTTGTCAAAGTGAGCAAGATTAGGTTCTAAACATAAATCAATTTAAGCAGTCAGAAACCTACAAGAAGTACTAAAATTGCTTTCAATTTCCTTGCTGATTTTTACAAAATAAAAGTCATTCACATAGTCTCTGGGAACAAAGTATTTTCTAAGACAGTGTTGCTATCACATATCCATTAGGGACATTGGTATTTTTAGATAGTATTGCAAGGGTGGCTTATGGATGGGGAGTGGGTAGGTGGTGAAAGGGGTTACTTATCTTACAACTGCAATGTCATTTAAAATCCCAAGTAGCCATCCACACTGGTCAGTCAGATTTACATTGCTCTGATTTATTTTAATTTTGGGGGGGTTGGTTTTTTTTGGGGGGGAGGTTTCTTAGTTTTGTTTTTTTTGTTGTTTTTTTGTTGGGGTTTTTTTGGGGGGGTGGTGGTTCTGGTTCCTCCTTTTTGCTTCCAAATTTTGCTATGTATTTATAACCACAGGAGTCAGTAAAGTGACTTGATTTGTGAGAGGCACTACAATCAGACAGATCTAAGATAAAAATAAAACTCATTATCTATAAGGTTGCTCTTGAAAGTCAACTATCACACTGGCATCACAAGAAATTAATTCATCAGTATATTTTTGACAAGCACAGTTTTTTTCTCCGAAAGGTCATTTTTCTAAATTAAGCGAAGTATTAAATATCTTTGCTGTTCTGTCACACATCTCAAACTTAACTCCTGAAATGTTTTCACAGTAAAATCAAATTACATTTGAAATAAACATATGAAATAAAGTTTCACATGCATTTAAATTTGACATTAGTACCCTAAGCAATGTAAGCAAACACTAAGGCCTGTTTGTATGTTTTATAAACTACATTAGTGGAAAATGTGCTTATTTGGTAAATATAGTATAGCCTAGTTTTGCCCAGAAAGTGTCCCTGTTTTAGAACTCCCTTAAATGCACACTGTTAAGCATGAGAGGTAGATCTGGAAATTACTGCTGTTCATATCACAGTTTGCTAGTGAAGGATTAGGACCATATTTACTGAGCATGTGCCAGAATCATCAAATAGTTTCAGTTGGAAGGGACCTTCAAAGGTCATCTAATCCAAGCCCCTGCAATGAGCAGGGACATCTTAACCAGATCAGCTTGCTCAGAGCCCCATCCAACTTGATCTTGACTGTTTCCAGGGATGGGGCATCTAACACCTCTCTGGGTAACCTGTTCGTGTCTCACCACCCTCACAGTAAAGAATTTCTTCCTTATATCTGACCTAAATCCACCCTCCTTCAGTTTAAAGTCATTGCCCCTTGTCCTATCACTAATGCCCCTGTATAAAGTCCCTCCCCATCTGTGTGGGCTCTCCTTACTCAGCTAGGGAACCCAGAGCGATACCCTGAACGCTGTGCCCTGTTGCATGCCACCTCTACATCCTCCCATATTTTTCCCCTCTCTCATCAAACAGCGCTGGAATGGAATCCACCACAGCTGCTGCCCAGGATTTTGCTTCTGACTCGCACCCTGCCCTCCCGGAGGTGCTTTGCTGGGTTATTTCAACCAGCGGGGGCAAAGCCTTGTGATGAACTATGGAAAATACCCACCTCTCCCCTTCCGCATTAGGAGAGGAAACCTACCCGCAACACCGACAAGAAAAAGCAGCTCCGCAGGATAAAAAACGGGAATCCTCTGCTGCCAAGCACACATGCCAAAGACAACTTCTCTTTGTGAATAAATACAGCACAAAGAACAAAGGTTCTCCTCCCCTTTTGCACCGACTGGAGTTGCTCTGCGATGAGTGGATTTTCTGCAGCGCCTGCCTTCCTGGCAGGCGAGGGTTACAGGAGTGTCTTCACTTATGTAAGTGCGTTTCTTGAGTACACAATTACCCAACACACCCAAGGCACTCCAAGGCTTCTCTCTCTCTCTCTCTCTTTTTTTTTTTTATTTTTTATTTTTTATTTTTTTAAGAAAAATCAGTTCCCTTCCAGCTGTAACATTTTTGGTTTTTTTCAAATCCAGGTAAGCAAAGCCACAGAAGCACTCTGAATGTGGTACAGTGAGACCCTTAGTATCCCAGTAAAAGAGACATTAATTTCTTGGCAGCACAACTCTCTCCCTATGTACTGGAACGTAGGCTGAGCTCCAGACTTGTAAGAGACCTCGACATTCACAAGAACCTCCTCCATTTTCACCTGTGCACCTTTTTTCCTCCTACAGAAGGTCATCAAGTATCTGCTGAACATTCCTTCCAAAACCACAGAAGACACCTACGCCAGCAAGCCCCACCGCCAGGAACAAACACCCCTTCTGCTGTCTCACAGCACAAAATACTTGACTGTGTTCTTCCTAAATGAAACACTTCAACTCATTTTGAAAGAGAAAGAGCAGGATATGAACAAATAAGGGAGTATTTGCCCAGGAAAAGGCGAAGAGGCCTTCTGTAGGGAGATACCTGCAATTGTTCCATTGCAATAACATGTAGAAAATCTAACTCTGTATTTGAAAGGCCACCAGTGAAACCAAATATAGATCTGTCAGGCAGCACTGCATAGACCACAAGAGCCTTATTACCAGTATCCATACCTACCACAGTTTCTTTAAAATACATTCTCCCTCCTGAACAAGTCTTCAGCTAAAGGCCATTCAAAAACCATGGCAAGCTTCCCTCTGGGCACACATTCAGGAAAAGACACAGCAGGAACATTCTGTGTAGGTACCAGTCACATCCATCATCACTAGGTCTGTGCCAGGCAGAATGCGACAGAAATCTCTGATCACATGTTGGTAGAAATAGACCTTTTTTACTGACAACCTGAATAGCTGGAAGCATAAAGGAATCCAGATCATTCCAATGCTGATGTAAGATTTTAATCACACATGTAAGGTTTTTAATCACACAGGTCTGAAGGAGACACAGGGAAATCACTGGTATTCATATCAAAGTCTGCTAGTGAAGGATTAGGACCATAATTACTGAGCAGTGTGCCCAACACGTATGAAAGGGAAAAAATACTTAGTCCCTTTCTCCCAAGAAGTTTAACTTATCCATACTCTTAAACACTGTTTCTATTTCACGAGCATTATAGATCCCCAAAACCTGTATCTCTGCTCAAGGCCCTACACATCCTGACAAAGTTGCTGCGTCTGTTCATTGTTTCCCCCAAACATTATTTTTAATCATTTTATCCAAAGCAAAACAGTAGAACTCCACAACTATACCAGGTTTGGAGGTACTGTAGAATTTGCTTGCTTCATTGCTATGTTACACCTGATGACAGATCATGAGGCCTGGAAGAATACCTTAGGAGAAAGGAAGATGTGAAACATACCCAACCTGCAGCCTGCTCTTTGCCATGCTCCCACAGTGACCCAGGGCTTTGGGAGAGTGCCTTAGTCAGGCAAGCTCCCCAGGTGGTCCTCAGGGCTGCTGGTGATGCCTGGGCAGCTGCACATCACCACCAGAACTGCTGCAGAGATGAAAGCAGAGATGGGCATTCCCATATCTGGTCACCACCCCGGCTGCAGGAAGGGTCAGAAACATTTTTCTAGACCCCCCAAGATCTGATGGAGCCATAAATGCATCAAGTTGAAAGGACGTTGACAAATATTTATCCTTGTCATTATTTGAAGTAGGATAAAAAGGTTAAGCTGTCTGAGAGAAATTAAATGTTTTAATAGAGACTAGGACAAATATGAAGCTGTCAGGATGTAAAAAGGCAACCTCCATAAAACTGGTCATGTTTTAATCTATGCAACCAATAAAGAAACAGTAAAAATAACCATGCTACACTCTGCTTGAATGCTGTTGACATTAGATCTATGGGAGAGAAAATAAAAAGTAAATAACCAATCAGTCTGCTGTTACACTGCTGATTGCTGAAGATACATAGCAGGAAATGATACCTTCTGTCTCATACAGTTCAACAAGACTTAGAGCAAACCAAAATTTTATTTGTAATGTTTCATTTCTAGCTCAGATTTGAGGTGGCTGGCCATGTTAATTTACAAATTTTTGCTTTCTATCATATCTAATTTGTATTTAAGAAGTAAAATTTGAAAACAAACAGTGCAACAGTAAAGCTTCCTCAAGGCATACTGCCAAGGAAAACCTGAAGGCTGCACTAAACCACACTAGCAAACAAATATTTGGAATACCTTGTACAGGCAAATAAGAAACTCTGTGCTGTATTAGCAAAGGGGCTTTAAGTATTATATTGCAAATCCTGCATAAAAAGAAGCGAGATCAAACATATCAATCCATACACTCTCATCTAAAATTCCCCCTATAAAAACTAGGTTTTAAGAAAACAGGTTGGCAATAAATGCCAACTGGAGACTAAAATGCATTATATGGCAAATCATCCTGACATTTATCCCCAAAACAAGTAATGTACATCCATAAAATCAGAGCAAAATAAATTGAAACACATTGTGGTTGGGAAATGCACTATTAAGGCACGTGAAGACTTCCTAAATTCAGAGTCAATACTGGGACTCTTATTAAGATATTCCAGCATTTTGAAATACTAAATTCAATTTTCTTTAATGATGTACTGGCCATTTCTCCCCTTCTAATATTACCAAAGGACACATGGTTTGGCTACAGTGTATGATCTTTCCCTAAAACTGTAAGCTCCCACGGAGATGACAAAAAGATGCTGCCAGAGAGAATCTGACCAATAAAAAAAAAATTAAAAAAAAAAAAAATCTTACACAAAATTCACTACTAAAATCTAAGGTATTTGTGGAAAAGATGAGCTTCAGTAAATTTTACACTACAAAATATTTTCTGGAATGAACAGGTCATCTTTCCTAAAAAAGAATACAACAAAAAGACTCAAAAAACATTTGTCCAAAACTTTCTTTTTTTATTAATTTAAACTAGAAGCCATGCAGACTTTGAAAATGCAAATTCAGTACAAAGTCTTTAAAATTTATAACAATGAATCCCTCATTTAATGCACATAATTTCAGGAAAACTATAGAAATATGACAAGTTTTGAGTTTTCTAACATTTTAGTTTTTGTTGGTTTTCTTCCAGTAAATACAAGTTACAAAGTAAAACAAAGTCACACTTCTAAATTTCAACATTGTCCTATGAACCTATGAACATCATAGCTGTTGTAAAGTAACATTTATGGATGTCAAAATGCAGGGCTTTTACTTTGTTATCTATCCACTTGTCCCTTGCGGCAGTGTGCAGGCGCACACAGGTGAATATCTCACGGAAAAAATTAGATGGAGCTGAAATGTCTTCCCCAACCCCATGCTCCAGTCTCAGGTGAGCTTCTGACTCTTCACCAAAATTCAGACAGTGCTCAGGCTGACTATCAAGTTCCCAAGGATTTTAAGAGAAGCAGAAATTCATCTTTCAATTTTATTAGGAAACCAAAACTTCCTGGCACAACCCCACAACATCCACCTATATGTGGGAACTCCCTTGTTATTACTTCCATTCCCCTGTGGCAAGAGACTGCAAACCAGCCAAATCACACACAAAGGTTCACTTCTCCACCGCACCTGTGGAATCCCAGGGCGTAGATGAAAGTGAGGACTGACTGCCCTGGAAAATGTCCAGGCACAGAGCAGTAAAAACAGCAGGCAGCAAGTCACCTACCAGAAGCTCAAAATTCCCTCTTTTAAGGCAAGAGGGAAAAGGGAAGGGGATTCTTGTTTTTGACCACATAGCTCAGTGATGGGAAGGCAGAAGAGTATGTGTGGGAGGATGATGGAGAGGTGAGAGAATTTCTTAGTGAGGGGAATTCTGGTCTCTGAGTTTAGGAACTTGTCATGGGCTATGTGAATTTGGTACCAACGCCCAACACAACCTTCCTGTGTACTTTATATCTCCACACAACCTTCCTGTGTACTTTATCATTTACCAGTGCCCTTTCCAATGGCACACAAAAGTTTAAAGGCAGCTTTTTTTGCTATTTTATAGAATCCTGTTCCAATCATCTCATTCCAATGCCCTTGCCATGGGCAGGGACACCTTCCACTAGACCAGGCTGCTCAAAGCCTCATCCAACCTGGCCTTGAGCACTTCTAGAGATGGGGCATCCACGGCTTCTCTGGGCAACCTGTGCCAGTGTCTCATCATATATTACTACTGTATCCAAGGGTGGCCACAAACTCCTCCTGCCCTTACACATTCTGACAGGTAATACTAACTAGTGAGACCAGAGACTTCCAAAACAGCTAACGAGTCAAAGTGCCAAACCGCAGTTCTCTTACCAGCCCGAAACCAGCCTGGTCTTCTGAAAATCAGACCCTATTAGATTGTATCAAAATGGGCCCACACAAAGCTACTGCTAAAACCCTTTTGCAAAAACACAACTGGCTTTTGTGTCACCTAAATACAGTGTAAACCAATTATTGTAGAGACAAGGCAAAACTGGGGTACTTAGAAAGTAGCCTCTTCTTCCAGCTTGGAGTAATTAATTTCAAAATCAACAATCTTCATAATACAGTTGAGAATTTTCAAAAGGCCGTTGTGATGGGTTTTAACTAATTCATTTTCCCACAGAAACTGGTAATCTCCTGCCAATTAAAACACCATTCATCTAACTCAACTCTCAGGTGCTCCCGACAATCATAACTCCTAGGTGAGGTAACAACCCATTTCAATCTTTCAGAAAACGATCTTTAAAGATAAAACTTATTATTAAGCCATAAAGCCCTGATACTTATCTTGCAGTGATGATAAAGACATATAATAAACCACGGATGTTCAACCAGAAGGAATACTGTGTTCAGTGTGAAGGGGTTTACAGCCATACGCTTTATAATATACAAAACCCAAACAAGACCAAAACAGTATCGTGAACCTGTAGCGGGTCTCAAATGGACACTTA